AACAAGAAAATCAGCAAGCGTAGGGCCCACGAGAAACACTGTAATTTTTCGGCTAGTAATTACCGCAGCCAGTAATTACCCCTGAAAACTGACTTTTAAATTACCCCCAAAACAACACATTTTTTACAGCAATTACGGAAGTCGTCTCCCATTCGACTTAAAAAAGAAACAGAAACTTCGAGGAGTAAATTAACTAGAGGGAAACATTTGGAAAAGTTAGAAAACAGAAGTAAATCCAGGTAACCGAAAAATCCATCTTTCGTGTCTTGGGCTTATATTAAATAGACCACTTGATGTTTCACAGGTGATGTTGTCAACGGAAAGCTTGTTGCTTTTTTCTTCAATTATATATATATATATATATATATATATATATATATATATATATATATATATATATATATATATATATATATATATATGAGAAGGAGAAGTGGAGGAGGGAGGAGGAGAGGAAATCATGGATTAGAAGGAGAACAGGAGGCGAAGAATGATTTGGAAAAAAAAGACCAGAGGAAGACTAAGACGAAGACGAAAAATAATACTAATAATAAAAGTAATAATAATAATAAATAATAATAATAATAATAATAATAATAATAATAATAATAATAATAAGCAGCAGCAGCAGCAGCAGCAGCAGAAGAAGAAGAAGAAGAAGAAGAAGAAGAAGAAGAAGAAGAAGAAGAAGAAGAAGAAGAAGAAGAAGAAGAAGAAGAAGAAGAAGAAGAAGAAGAAGAAGAAGAAGAAGAAAAAGAAGAAGAAAAGGAGGAAGAAGAGGAAGAAGAAGAAGAAGAAGAAAAGAAGAAGAAGAAGAAGAAGAAGAAGAAGAAGAAGAAGAAGAAGAAGAAGAAGAAGAAGAAGAAGAAGCAGAAGAAGGAGAAGAAGAGGAAGAAGAAGAACGAAAAGGAGGAAGAGAAGAAGAAGAAGTAGAATTGAAGAAGGTAGAGTGTGGTAGGAGGAGGAGGTGAAGGAGACTTTTACTACATTGTTTCTCTCAACTCATAATGTGCTTTGCGCTATAATTAATGCTGACGAGGAAACAATTTGTCTACTTGCTGATCCTTGACTGCCATATTTCGCGAAACAATATTTCCTGTGTTCTCTATTTAATTGGCCATGTCCATAAAGACTTAGACAAGACTGGAAACTGATGAATTTTACATTGAATGCCTATACTTATATCGTAAATAAAGGCTACCCATTGCTTATTCTGTATAAATAATATTTCTCAAACACTGAAAGCGATAGGTAAATATTGATAAGGTTGCCATATCTCTGAACACCTTGTGTTCCTGTCCAGATTACCTGAACAAATCCAGACTTTCAGCGTGATGTGAATGTTTTTCGATAGATTATCGACTGCATTTAAAATGGTTTAATCCTCCGTGGCCTATTTCTCCTCACGTAGCTGGCTGCCTACCAAAAAAAAGTCGCACAAAACACAATCCTTATAGCTCCAGGGTCGATCCCTAGGATTTTGTAAAACCCAGCAAAGCAACATGAAAAGCTGACATCGAGTTCTAATGCAGATCTTCCCCCCACATCAATGCCTCCTCTTTGTAGATTCTCTAGAATATTTACTTGTGTTTATCTAAGGCGAGTACCTATCAATAGTTTTTTCGTCCATGAGGACCACTCTTTCTTTCATCCGCCATGAAACTGCAGTTGAATGTTTGTGAGTCCAGAGGTGACTTATAAGTCCAATACGTGCCCGAAAGAGTCTAGGACAATGAGGACACGGCACAGTGTCTATAGACAAAAGGCCTGTTTGACGTCTCTCTCTGGCATGTCTTCGCTGTTCAGCTGCCCTCGATTATTTTGATGTTGTAGAAATTAAACAAGCAACGGAATTCGATGACTTTCTCGTGGCTGATTTCTTCTATCACTGACTAATTACAATTCAAGGGACGGACTGTTTGTGATGGCAGCAATGGCGACTGCCTGTTCATTTACTACGTGTGCGAGATTTTGGATTTGGCCGACACGAACCTGTTTGACTAGTTTTTAAGTGGGACAGGGGCGGTCATTCTGTAAGGTTTCCGGTGTCACAAAAACGAGGCACACATGTGGTTAAGTACTAAACACAACACAAATGGTGATTAGAAAGCTCAAAAGAGAAATGAAAAAAGCGCATAAATACAATCGAACGTTTCAAAGTCTTTATCAACTGAGTTCGAAGTAAAACACTAAGTGACTGGACAACTCAACAGATAAGACACACACAAACACACGCACGCACACACACACACACACACACACACACACACACACAAGCACACACACACACACACGCACGCACGCACACACACACGCACACAAGCTTGTGATCAACTCGAAACCAAGGAAAAGATAAGTGTGTGTTAGCCGCAAAACTGGAACCGAGACTAAAGTCCTCATAGCCAAATGTTAAAGAGAAAAAAAAAATTGAAGGAAAAAAAAAAACATTTATAAAATGGTGCCTGTGAAGAAATGATAAAGTTAACCGTATGACAGAAAT